TCCTATGTGAAAGATAGAGCAGAGATACGGGCATAACTGAGTCTTCGGTGGTAGCACTGAGCCAATCAATTTCCCTTATGATTAAAGCCAACTCAAATTATGTTTTCTCTTGCTGCAACAAAAGACAAGTTAGCTAACACCACTTAGTGTCGACAGGAAGTTTAATATGTTCTTCTTTATGTTGTCTAAGTTGTCAATAAAGCTGTTGAATAGAGGAGATATCAATATTATTTCTTGGAGCAGGGAAAAAATAGTGACATTTGTTTTATGAAAACTTTGACGTATTTAGAACATTGTTAGATATTTAACTGGTGATTCATAAACACTAGTGCCACTCTCTCTGCACATCTGTCAGACCTGCCTTGCCGCTCTCAGATACTTCATTGTCCGCTTGGCTCCACTTAGTGGCCTGGGCGGCCACCTGGCCACTCAGACTTGGTTCTGGCCCACTTCCTTTCCAATTACATTGAAATTAGTTCTCAAAAATCCCATTCCATGCGAGTGACCCTCACACTGCTTCCCAGTGAACTAATTAATCTGCTCATTTATCGGTTCAGATTAATTTAGCAAAAATGTGGTGAGCACATGTTGAACACATGGTGAGCACGCGTCTGACCACACCACCGCGCTCTGCAAGCGCTGCAATATCCCCACTTGCCACTGAGACATAAAGTCCTAGATTCCAGAAGCTTCCCTGCAGCTGCTGCAGAAAAGACAGATGCCTTTGTTACCACACTGTCCTGTAAATCTGATCGTCCTCGGGGCCACCACTCTCCTCGCTCACCTCCAGATCCCACACAGGGGTCTCCTCCATGGAGCTACATCTCAGGCAAAACGTGAGTTGCAAGAGAGACTAGGAAATGTAGTTTTACAGGAACTAAAACTAGAATAGGGGTTGTCTTGAGAGCTGAGTGAGACAATTTGGTTTCTGCCACACGTAGTGGCCACTGGGCACTGTTCCGGGCAGTGGAGATAGAGCAATGAACAGGAGAAACAAAGTCCCTGGCCTGTGGAGAGAAAGCCTCGGGGGGAGGCAGATAACTAACAAGTTCATGAAATTTTTGCTAGTGATAAGTGCCCGAAGAACAATGGAATGGAGTGACAACTTAGAGATAGGGAGGTTGCTTTTTATAGGGATTTGAGGGAAGCCCTGTGAATAAGTGAAGTTTGAGTGAAGATTTGATGAGAAGCAGGAAGCTGTATGAAAATCTGCGGTGCCCTAGCTGGTGTGGCTCAGTGGATAGAGCGTCGGCCTGCGGACTGAAGGGGCACGGGGTTGATTCTGGTCACTGGCACATGCCCAGGTTGCAGGCTCCATCCCCAGTAGGGGGCGTGCAGGAGGCGGCCGATCAATGATTCTCTCATCATTGATGTTTCTCTCCCTTCCTCTCTGGAATCAATAAAAGTATATTAAAAAAAAAAGAAAAGAAAATCTGGGGCAAGAATATTTCAGGTAAAAGGAGCAGTTCAAAGGCTGTGAGGTGGTCAGCTCGGCATGGCAAGGGCGGTGGGAGCAATGAACGTACGACGGGAGATGGGGTCAGATAGGTAGACAGGGACCGGACCGCACAGGGGTGGGGGCATGATTCTAAGTGTCTCGTGAAAGTCGTAAAAACAAGGCAGTGACTTGATGTAACTTACATTTCTTAAGGACCCCTCTGGCTGCTCCACAGAGAGTAGACCATGTGAGGGCAAAAGGAGAAGCCAGGAGACTGATTCAAAGACATGTGCCGTTGTCCCCGGAAGGAAGATAGAGGCTTGGGCTGGAGTGGTGGCAGAGAGGTGGGGAAAAGTGGTCCAGTTCTGGGCATGTTTTATAGTTAAACCCAATAGAAAGTTGCTCGTGATCAGATGTTGGAGGTGAGGGGAAATAAGAAATGATGCCTGAGATTTTGGACTGAGCCAGTAAGTAGATGGTGGTGCCATTAATAATAATGGGTAAGGCCCTAACCCAGTGGTTCTCAACCTTCTGGCCCTTTAAATACAGTTCCTCATGTTGTGACCCAACCATAAAATTATTTTCGTTGCTACTTCATAACTGTAATGTTGCTACTGTTATAACCGTAATGTAAATATCTGATATGCAGGATGGTCTTAGGCGACCCCTGTGAAAGGGTCGTTCAACCGCCAAAGGGGTCGCGACCCACAGGTTGAGAACCGCTACTCTAGGGTGTCACAGCGGACTTGAGTGTAGTCTTCTGCTTCTCAGGGAAGGTCATCTGGAGTTCAGGCCCAGCTCCCTTTGTGAGCCAATGATCACAGGAAGGAAGCAGCTGTGTTCTTAGCACAACACAGTCTGGGTCACTGTCCTTATGTTTCTAACTCTCTATCCCTCTCCCTTCCTCTCTGTAAAAAAATCAATAAAATATATTTTTAAAAAAATAATGATAATGGGTAAAGTCTGGGAAAGAATCAGGTTTAGCGGTAGAGGGGAGAGAATGTAAAGAATAGACATCCAAGATGTAGAGTTGCCATAGGGGTAAGCTCAGGGAAGAGGTGAGGCCGATGATGTCAGCTGGGGAGGCATCAGGATATAGATGTTCTTAAGGCCAGGAGATTGGATGAGTTTACATAGGGAGAGAGTGTAGGTAAGAAAAAGAAGAGGATCAAGGATGGAGCCCTGGACCACCCCAAAATTTATAATTTGGGAAGACGAAAAGGAAGCATTCATTGCCTAGTTTTTAAGAAAGATGAAAAACAGGGAAGTGTGGTGTTCTGATTAGTAAGTGAATAATACTTCCTAAAGGAGGTACTTTATAGATTCAGAGGTCTAATAAGATGGCAATTGATGCTTTTGGTTCAGTGGGGGTTGGTGATGACCTTGCAAAGAGCCACCTTAGTTTAGTGCCTATAGTGGGCATGCAGGATGGGAATGGTCCAGGTGAGGAAGAGAAATCGATTAGAGGAAAGAGGGGTTAATTGTAGAAGTGAAACAGGTGAGAAGAGAGGAAGGTGAGGGTGGAGTGCTGGCCTTACACAGGAGCAGGGCAGTAACTGGAGGAGGGTGGAATGTGGATTTAGTGACAGGTCACGAGATGGTCCTGGTTAGGCTGCTGACATCTAGTCAGAAGGGTGTGTGGCTGTCAGCTCAGATTGAAGGCGGGAGAGGAGGCTGGTAGAGGTTTGAAACAAAAGAATATGGTGTGACAGCCTCCTTTCTGAGAGTGGAAAAGTGATTTTTTTGAGAGAGAGAGAGAGAGAGAGAGAGAGAGAGAGAGAAATATCACAGGATTTCTGGTTTGCAGTGAAGTCAGTGGTCATGAATTTCAAGCAGACCAGTGTGTAAGGTCTATGTTTTTGCTCATAACAGCCTTCACAAATAATGCTCTAATATTGTTTTGTAAAAGAAAGAAGTAGAAGAAGTTCTGATGGTGGCGATTGCACACCGGGAGAGGGCAATGGCAGGTGTTGGCAGTATATTAAAGAGCCAGGGCGTTGTGGTGCCCCTGAAGTCACATCTGTGGCCCACTTATTCCTGATGCTTTGCAGTGGCCATCCTAGCACTGGATTTATCTTCCCAGGAAAACCCTGAACTCCTAGTGGCTCCTGTGGGGACAACCCACAGCAGCCTTTCATTCATCTACCATCCACCCATCTAGTATCTTCCTTTTAAGTACCTAAGACACTCAGGACTAAGATGAACAAGCATTAGTTGAATCAACCTAAATGCCCCCTATCACTTAAAATGATAGCAAACATGTAGACTGCACTTATAGGCTAGGTACTGCTCAAATTTGTACATTTCACTCTTTTAATCTTCCCAGCTACCTCTGAGGTAGGCACTATCTTTTCCCTGTACTTTAGATGAGGAAACAGAGGCATGACCCTGTAAAGCTAGAGTTTGGACCTGGACAGTCTGGCGCCAGAATCTAACCTCTACTGCCTGTTTTTTATTGTTAGTTCTGTGGCCTATGAATCTGTAAATTTTATTTTTTTTAATTACTCAGAAACATGTGTACACTACAGTGAGATTTTAGTACCATATTAAAGTTTACATTTTGATCTCCAATTAAAGATTTCACCTTCATGAATAGATGCCTGTTATAAAGCTGAGATCTTTGTAATTCTAGAGGCAATTGTAATTTCCTCATCAAGTTTATAACTGTTTCAAGTATTGAGGGCTTTAAGCACAGGCCTGCTGGAAATTTTATAATTAAAAATAAATCAGCAGCCCTGCTGGAGTGGCTCAGGTGGTTTAGCGTCCTCCCGTGCACCAAAAGGTTGCTGGTTCAACTCCTGGCAAGGGCGCATACCCAGGTTCCAGGCATGTATGGAAGCAACCAATAGATGTTTCTCTCTCACAATGATATCTCTCTCTCTCTCTCTCTCTCTCTCTCTCTCTCTCTCTCTCTCTCTGGGCATGCCCTTGAGTGAGGATTAAGTAAATAAATAAACAAACAAATAAATCACCAATGAAGAGAAGCAGCTTCTAATAAATCAATATGTAGTTTTTGCTGTTAAACTAACGTTTAATTTTGATTTGCTTACAGATTTAAGTTTATATTATATTAGTTAAAATTTTTCATTTCAAAATCTTAAAATTACAATTTTGTGAATTTAACATTTTTACTTCTCTGGTTAAGGCTACTTCAAATATAAAAGGTATCAAAAGGGTACTGATCTGCCTCCTTTAACTTGAAGATGAGAGACAGACCAAGTTTGGTCGGATTTCTCAAAACCGGCATGATTTCTTCTTGAGTCTTTATATGAATTTCCCAGTGGCTGCAAACAGCACACTGGTGTGGCCAATTTTGTACAAACTCTATCATGTGTCCAGAAATTGCAGAGTTTGCCGTGGTATGTTTTTGCTACATTTGCTTCATTCCATCCTCACCGTTACTGCACTGAATGTTGTGAAGATATTTCTCCTGAGCCCGAGTCCTGGGCGCCTCCCTGCGTTGCTTCACCTTTCCCTGTGGATTCTCATCGCAGTTTCTGCTCAGTTGTCCGACGTACGTGTACTGCCAGGCTGGTGACATGGTTTGTCCGCCCTGCCACAGGTCATCATCGCGCTTTCAGAGAAGCACCGTTCGCACATCCCCTACAGGAACTCCATGATGACCAGTGTCCTGAGAGACAGTTTGGGAGGGAACTGCATGACGACCATGATCGCCACGCTCTCTCTGGAGAAAAGGAACATCGACGTATGTTGGCCCTTCTTTCCAGAGCTCTCAGTCTGAGTTATTAATGTTAGTCTGTGTGCAGAGTCGAGGGTCCTGGGTGGGTTTCCATCTTTTCAGCTGGGTTAGGGTATGCCTTCAGGTTAGATACACCCTACAGAATCCACAGTTTTGCATGATTTGTCAGCATTAGAATGACCCCACTTGAGAATTGACTTAAAGTAGCACAGGATGGTTTGAAGAAGCCTCGTACACAAATTTCAGAAGACCTGCTGATGGGTGGTTTGCTACCTTGGCAGAGATGTGAGAGGAGGCATCAGCTTCCCCTGCCCCTCTCGCTCTGGCTTACTGAGATACCTGGGAGATATCTCCGAGACGTGTCCCTCAGCATGTCGCTGGGCACAGTACCCAGGATGCTTTGGCAGGACTCGCTACCGAATGGCTTTCCTGGGTCGCTTTAGAGATCTAGCTGATGTTTCATGCATTTCGGTTTAATGTTTGTGGTCCAGACTTTCTCTGAAAGCGGAAGCAGCAGGGTGCCTCTCCAAACAAGGCCGAGCCCCGCCTGCCCTGCACCGTGCCTCTCTTTTTGGTTTGTTACAAGCATTTCTTTTGTCGTCTTTCATGCTTAGGGACCCGGCACCTTTTCTGGTTGTGATTGGCATGTGTGGTTCTGCTTTAACAATCAGCAGTAGAAACACATGCCAGTTGCCACTTAGGACCTCGGGCTCCCCCACACCTTTGGCACTGACCATTTTATTAAGCCCAGTCAACACCGTAATAAAAAATACTCTTCTAGAGCAAAGCTCCCTAACCTGGAGGCACGTTCCTCACTGTGTTTCATGCACATCGCTCTTCAGATGTGCATCTTTCCCTTTCCATCTCTCTGTGCCGTGACAGTTTAAGGCGTTGTTTTCCTTTCTCAGGAGTCTATATCTACCTGCAGATTTGCACAGCGAGTGGCGCTCATCAAGAATGAAGCTGTTCTTAATGAAGAAATTGACCCCAGACTGGTAAGCAACTTTTAGCTGTGTTTTAAAAAATCAAAGTACTATATCAAAGATTAGCTACACTCTGGGGGCACTTACTCCGCCTAACCAGGCAATGTTCTAAGTCCTGAGAGCATGTTGACTCGTTTAATTCTCCCAACAACCTTATGAGTAGATGCCATTTCCAGCTCCATCTTACAAATGGCAAAACTGAAGCACAGAAATGATAAATAACTTGCTCAGAGTCAGGGTGCTCATAGGTAGCAGAGCCAGGATTCAGACACAGACAGCCTGACTCAAGGGCCTGTGCTCTTACCTGCAGTCCCCCATTCCTCCACTAGGGAGGCGTGCATGAGTCCTGAGGACGTACACAGTGGAATCATAGTTACATTTATGTGCAGGTTGTAGCCTCTCAAAAATGCTTAACTTTCTATAGACAATAATAATAGACCATCTTGTGAAAAGCCTGTAGAGAAAAAGAAGTCCTAGTGGTTATAAAATAGGACCCTATTTTGCATAACTGTTCTGTTATTTTTCTAGAGATTTAAAAAACATTTATAATGGTTTGATCCATGGAAAACTGGCCAAGCTTCTAGTTTTATAACAGTGAATTGTACTTTATCAAAGTGATTTTTTAGGCAAAAAAATATTTGCAAGTTACATGATTCAGCTACTCATAAACACAGATATTTCCTTTTTTCTCTATTTTGTTAGTCTTCCATGAATGAAATGAAATGTGGAATTCACTCATGCCAACACTGAAAATATTGACATAAAATATTTCAATTTTGTAAAACTCCAAAATTTAGATTATATTCCTTTGCAAGTCACTCAGCTTTCTTTTTTTCTTCTTTACTAGAAAATAAGCTGGTGTAAGCTTAATAGTGTACATTGTAAAAAAAAATGTGTAAGCTTACCAACAGTATTTTATTTACAAATTTCTCAAATTCCAAAAGAAAAATCTCAAATTCACCATTACCCATATTAACTACTTCCTCTTGCTTGCTTGCCCTTCCTCCCTGAAATCATTCCTCTGGATGGAAGAGGAGGAGGAGGAGGAGGA